ATATGCACGGTGTAAGAATCCCCCGGTTTATTTGCACTAAAGTATTGTACAATAAAATTGATTTATCCAAAGCAAAAATTATCAATTTGTATCATATATAGGTAGTATCTATATGTTATACAACATCCACAAAGCAAAAATTAAACTTATAGCAATCACGGAGTATCAAATTAAATAAGATGCCTTGTCTGATCTATTAAACCATCATGAAGCTGGAAAATCGTTGTGGCCAACATAAGACTAATTTGACTTTGAAAAAACTTTGATTTTGCACTCCATCACATAACATTTTGTAAAGAAAAATTTGTGAATGTGGTGCAAAGTCAAATATTTTTAAATAAAATGTGTGCAAAGTCAATTTTTTTAAAAAATGAGCTGCAAAGTCTAATTTCATCCAAAAAGTTGAATGCAAAGTTATGTTGTAAAAATCGGACCGAGAAGTGACCCGGCCGAGCAGTCAGGTCACGGGTCAGCCCGGACCCGGCGGGTCAACCCGGTCAACACCCGGAAAACTCGGTCAATAAAGAAATAGAATTATTATTTTAAAATATACAATTTTTAACTAAACACAAAATATATATTAAATTAGATGGATATTAAATACGGAGTATGAATATGAAGCTTATTAAAAAATGAAATATTATACGTAGTATAAACACTCTCACTCATAATATTACTAATCACATATACTGTATGTTAATGATGTTATGTTTTTATTGTAATTATTAATTAAAAAGTAAGTTTATATTAGTAAGTAAAATATATATGCACTACTCGGTATTAAATATGGTTAAGTAACATAATATACCAACATTCCAAAGCAGCTTCACGGTTTGAAATCTCTCCTCCCACCCTTTACACCCGGGTTCGAATCTCCCTTGCCGCATACTTTTGAGTTAATTGCGGGTTTTAAGATATTTCCGGATTTGGGCTGTCTCCGGTTACGGTCCGGCTCTGGCGGGTCAACGGGTTTTTCCGGGTTCGGCCACATTTGCGGGTTGGGGTTCAACCGGACCGGATTGGACTCCAGGTGACCGGGTTCCGGGTTGACCCGCCCGGTCCGGTCCGGTCCGGTTCTTACAACATAGATGCAAAGTCAAATTTTCTATAATTTTAAAAGATAAGAAGTGTAATACTAACGGTAGGCAATTGAAAACAATACCAGCTTGAGATTCACCGCTCTAAATTCCCCTAAAAACATTCCATCGCCTAGACAACGAATATCTTATACAAAAAATCTTCATCCACCTCCACATATTTCCCATTTATTTAGTTTCAAAACTTCAAGTCTGAAAGTCTCTTCCCAAATTATTGATGGCATCTTTGATTCAGTTTTCCAAACTTCTCAATTGCAGATAAGTGATCAACAATTTTCTCCTCCGGTGAAGTTTTCCATCGAATCCAAAATCTTTTTTCACTTATTCATACTATTGTTTTCGTTTCACTTATTCTGCAGACAATATCAGTCTATTTGCTTCACACTTTATATATCCCAGAATTTTGCTAGCTACTCTTTTGTTTGCATGGAATCGTTATTTGGGGTAGTTTTTATCTCAAACCCGTGATACTAATCCGGGCTTTGTAACAAATTTTATATGCTTCGTATTTAGAATTAGAAAATTGTTGTAGAGTTCCCTACATTTTATACTGCGTATATGAAGTTTTATATGGATTATATAAAGTTAAAGTCGGAACTTTATTATTTTTTTGACACAAAAAATTCTTGGTTGATAGAAACTTCAACCACCCTAATTACCCGCAATGTCTATTCATAAGTGAATCTATTGGATTTTATACTTCATTCAAATTTGATCTTCAATGCATCTGCTCAAGTGCTCAACCATTTTAACGCATAAAATTAAATTGATTTATTTTGTAGGACGTAAAGGACTAGTTTCGGTAATGCTTTAGGTAGAGTAGTGGCATATACGAAGTATTTCATATGCTTCTTTTGTTTGAGACTTTGAGTTGAACTGTAATTTATGTTTTACTCAAAACTTTGTTATTTTACACCATTTCTTTAGCTTAAACTTTATTTTTATTTGCAATTATTATTGATAGAATGAGCAAAGCATAAGTATTACGGATCATATATTTGAGATATATTATTTAGCCTATTTGCGTTATGTAATATTCTATTATAGGCATACAATTATTGCCTTACCTTATTAGACTAGTCAACCTTTTTATATAAAGGTTTTTGTACACATATGGAACGTGAGAAATACAAGCAGAACTTATTCTTACATACATCTTCGCTGTTCATCATGGTATCAGAGCGCAGGAGACTCCGGCGTGACGGATAACTCACCAAAAACTTCCGAGGTCTTCTGCAAATGGCAGTAGGGGACAGTGAAGGTTCTGCAGCAATTGACCACACCTCTCCCTTCTATTTGGGGCCGCAAGATCGTCCGGGCGACTATATAACGCCTGTGCGATTGACCGGCGAGAACTATGACGAGTGGTCTAATTCCGTACGATTGGCTCTACGGGCAAGAAGGAAATACGGTTTTGTTGATGGAACAATCCTCAAGGCTATACCACCGTGCACGAATGATGATTGGTTGACAATTCATTCGATGCTCGTTTCTTGGATACTCAACGTCATCTCACCGTACTTGAAGCACACCCTGTCAAACTACGAAAATGCATACGACTTGTGGCAGGATCTTAAGGAAAGATTTTCTGTGGTTGACGGCACACGTATCCATCAGGTGAAGACGGATTTGGCGAGATGTGAACAGACCAAAGGCATGACCATCGGAACCTATTACGGGAAATTGAAGACACTTTGGGACGATTTGAACAACTTTGAACCTCTGCTTGTCTGTACCTGCGGAAAGTGCACCTGCGATTTGAACGAGAAGCTGGAGAAGCGTCGTGAATCCGAACGATTTCACCAATTTCTCATGGGGTTGATTCCCGAAATTTATGCAAGTGTTCGGTCGCAGCTGTTAACCCAAACGCCCCTTCCCACACTCAATCGAGCGTACCAACAGGTCAGCCAAGAGGAGAGGGTACGCAATATGGGACAAAATCGAGAAGAGAAACCTGAGGTTCTGGGATTCGCTGTGCGTACTGACGGGCGAAGCAAGGGCCGGATACTGCAGGGGACGAGCAAATCAGATAAATCTGGCCAAATTTGTTCTCATTGCAGGTACCCAGGCCATGACATCTCAAGTTGCTTTGAAATCGTCGGGTACCCTGAGTGGTGGGGAGACCGACCTCGTGCAGAAAATAAATCCGGTGGACGGGGCCGCGGAGGAGCTGGACGCGGTGGTGGAATCTCAGGGCGTGGCAGGGGTAACGCTCGTGCTCATGCGACGCTGGTAGAACTGCTGGATCGCGCGCAGAATTTGTTGATGAAGCAGGGGGAACGGAAGAAGGAAAAAGAAGTGGGCTGCCGGGTCTTACTTCGGACCAGTGGAAGGCGCTTCTAGCAGCATTTGGTAAACCCGGTTCTAATAGTGAAAGATTATCTGGTAAGTTTAGCCCCCTTTCCTGGATTATTGATACGGGTGCCTCAAATCACGTGACCGGGAATCTCTCGTGTTTACGAGACATTACCGACATTAGCAGTTGTACTGTTGGATTGCCGGATGGTCAGAAAGTTCAGGCTACTAAGGCGGGATCTGTTTATCTATCTGACATGATACATTTATCTCATGTGTTATTTGTTCCCAAATTGAACTGTAGCCTTATCTCTGTATCTCAACTTACGGAAGATCTTGATTGTTTTATTCAATTCACATCTAATATTTGTGCTATACAGGACCGGCACTCGAGGAAGCTGATTGGAGCGGGTGAACGGAGGAATGGACTGTATTTCTTCCAAGATGTTGTTGGTACTTACATTTTTGGTGTTCATAAAGGATCTGATTCTGCACTTACTTGGCATCAACGTTTGGGACACCCGTCAGATACAATTATGAAATGGCTCCAACCTGTGAGTGGATATTCCACTGCTGTTTCTTCGCCATGTGAAATTTGTTTTAGGGCTAAACATACTAGAGACACTTTTCCTCTTAGTAGCAGCAAAAGTACTCGTATTTTTGAACTTATACATTGTGATTTATGGGGACCATATCATACCCCATCTTCTTGTGGTGCTAAGAGTTTTCTAACGATTGTTGATGATTTTTCCCGCGCTGTTTGGGTATACCTTTTGGTTGATAAAACAGAAGTTTTTCCTATGTTCATGAATTTTTGCGCTATGGTGGAGTGTGACACCTCGAAAAATTTAATAAAATAAAATAAATAAATTTTATTGGTTAGCAAAATATTATGAAAGTGATTTTCTTAGAATCAAGTGAATCAGATAAAATCTTAACATCAGTGACATTTTTAACCAGATAAAAATGTTTCAATAATAAAAGTGACATCTTATAATGATTATGTCGAGACCTCGACTTAAATAGCAAAAGTGACAGTTTTGTAACAAGTAATAATTATACATATAACATAAATAATAAAATTGTCATTTTAATGTACAAAATGTATTGTGACGCACACACAAATAATCATATAAATAATGCTACGTACACAAATGAAAATGTTGGGGCTAAATTATATACTAGTACTACCTCCGTCCCCCTAAATTTGGGGACAAGAGAAGTTGACACGGTTATTAATAAAAATGAATTTATATTGAATTGATAAAGTAAGAATAAAGTAGGAATGATTTAGAATCACACGAACTTTACAAAAAAAAAAATATGAGACAATTTTAATGAGACGGACCGAAATGGTAAAATGGGACAATCATAGCGGGACGAAGGGAGTACATTGTATCAAACAAGAGTTGACCGAAGGGGACCAAAACCCACCTACACACACAATGGACCAATGTATGCGAACAAGAAATACACATTCACGCACATGAATATGTTGAAGCAAGCTTATTGCCAACCTAAACTCACATGGGTTGTTCGTAGCTACAACCTCCAACCTCATAGTATAAATAAGCAAGAACAGACCTTCAGCTCTCTTCATCCCCAACCCTGCGACATATATATATACGTGTATATATATATACACTACGTATATACATATATATATATATATATACATATACACAAATTTCGACCCTTCGTTTTAGTCAAAACCGAGCCATGAAAACACCATAGAAACCTTCCCCTTCTCGAGAGGAATCCAACGGTGAAAGAATCGTTGAAAACGATCGTGAAACGACGGAGAACAAGCTTGCCGGAGTTCCGCCGGGCTAACCGCAAAGACGGAAAACGGAGAAGAAGGAGGAGCTGCCGCTGCCGCCAACCCATCACTGACCTTCGCCGTCCCAAAACGAGTCCTCTACCACCACCGTATCACGAATCCGTCGAGGTAACCCCCTTCCCCCTGCCTAGCTCGTTTTCTCGAGTTCATGATCGAGGAAGAAGAAGTGTACACTTTTTTTTTCTTCTTTCTCTCTTAGAAGATTGGGCCGTTTGGGCCAGGAGTTTTTATTTTTACTTTTGGGCCAAGACTCCTAAGTAGTAGAAGTAATAATAATAATAATAATAATAATAATAATAATAATAATAATAATAATAATAATAATAATAATAATAATAATAATAATAATAATAATAATAATAATAATAATAATAATAATAATAATAATAATAATAATAATAATAATAATCTGCAAAATTGATAAATTTGAGATGAGAAGTATTAATGGTGAAATTGGCTGGAATATTTGATAGTAACTACTTGGATAAATTTGTTAATTGTTATTTAACATAGTTACATATTGTTAAATAAAAAGGAAATTGATGGTTCAATTAATAAAAATTGATAAAAAAATATTATATTATAATTATTTAGTTGAACTTAGTAGAGAAAATTGGATCGTTATTGTTTTCACTCATTATTGGATTATTGAAGTGGATTAATAAGTTAACGTAATATCAAGCGTTTAAATAATTAATTAATAAAATCAGATTAAGTTGATGACGATTAGTTAATTTTAAATAATTATGTAATATTCGGATTGATTAATATAATTAAGAAATATGAATAGTTTATTTAAATATAATTCGGATATGTTTTGATAATATTGAAATACAGTTAGTTCTTTGAATGTTTTTTTTTATATGATGATATTTAAATTAAAATCTGATGTTGTAGTTAATTATATTTTTATTAGAATTCAAATACCGTAATTAATGACTGAATTAATAAGGTATTTTGATTAATAAAATGTGATTAACTCGAACAATTAATAAATGTACTTAACTAAATGAGTTAAATAGATCTTTTATATATAATTAATTAAGTAAATGAGTATATTTAAAAAAAAATGATTAAGGTCTGATCTATTAATAAAATTAAGTTAATTGATTTCGTAATTAAAGATTAGATTTTTCAGAATTAATTAATTAATTGGAACTAATTAGTGATAATAATTAAATAATAGATTTTACTAGTAGACTAAAGTTCGACTAAGATAAATAAGTTAGTGACTAAATTGAAATTAGAATTAATCAGTTACTTTAATTAATTAAGTTTTAGCAGGCTATTTTCGGATAAATAAAATAATTAGGAATTATTAGTATGTATAGCCGAAAATTAAATAGTAGTAGAAGTATAAATAAATTAAGTAGATTAAAGACTTAAATTATATAGTTGAATTTTATAGTCAAGTAGTGCTAACTACTTCGAATAAGAGTAAGAAACCGAATTAATTAAATTCAATAATGGAGTAGTTATTAATTTTCGCACATTGATAATATTAAAGGAGAGATTGGCGAATTCGTTGAAGACGTGAACTAGATTTCGAGTAGGGTTAGAGCAAAAGCGTGACTTCGAGGTAAGTTTCTCTGCCGATCCAAAATCGTTTCCTCGTATTATATATGTATTATGTGATACATGATTTTAATGTGAGTTATGATGTATATGTATGAGATTTTGAGATTGTTGGATCTGTGATATTTGAGAAGTGAAACTAAATGCTTTTGGGTATTAAATATTTTATTTAAACATCTTGAGGCAGTTTGAGAAATTGAGGAATATTTTGAAGTATATTAATTCAAGATAAAAGAATGATTTCATAAGAGGTAGGCATCTCGGGAGTAATCCGAGGTGTTGGTTTTCCACGTCCCTTAAAATGTGGAGAGTGGTTAGGGCTACTACTAAGAAGAGATTTTTGAGTAACTTTCGGATCGATGATCCCTTTTAAGAAGGAGAGTTGTGGTAGCAGTAGTAGTTCCGACGTAAAAGGGCTGCTACTGCTAAGGGTGAGGATAAGTTTTGAGTGATAATTGGATCGATGATCCCTTTTAAGAAGCAGAGTTGTAGTAGTAGTCCCTAATCATTCAAAGATATCTTATTCAGGGGTAGTTGGTAGACTGAGTCCCGATTACTCGTGACGACTTACTACTCGGAGGGCTTGGAATCCCTTTTAGGGGGTGTGCACACTTAAGGTAGTCGTTTCGTTTCCGCAAGAGCAGTTGTGGTACCGGCACTCGTTCGGGGTGGCCGTCCGTAACCACGGTCCACCGGGCTCAGTCGAAAGGTTGAGCACCGCCCTTCTAAATTACTAGGAAGATAGAGAAGAAGTGAATTTTGAGAAAATCTAAGAGAAGAGTTACTATAGTATTTTCAAAGAAAAGTTGAGGACTTTATTAAAGAAGTGATTTTGAGAAATATCAAAGAGAAAAGGATTTTGGTGGAGAGTGTCATTTTTATATAGTATTATATGAAAAACTATTTTTAGCCAAACCTGATTATTTTACGGGGTTGGGTAGTACTTACTTAGCTCTAAAGCTAATTTTTGTTCCCTTTTCTTTGTTTTGTTTTCTGCACTTTATTTGTGCAGGTGATGATGCTTATGTGGACTGATGATTGTATGACCACGAGAGCGGTTTAGAGATGCCTTAGTCAAACCTAGTTATAAATAAACAATCCAATTATGTTGAACACTTGTTTTACTTTGTTTGGTGATTGCCTGTGCATTCGGTTAAGAGATGACCGGATGTGGCGGTAACACCCATTTCCCATTTAATGTTATTTCCGCTGCAAAACTTTTTATCTGTTTTGAAAGAATAAATCAAGTTATTATCAATAAATCTATTATTTCAAGTATTATTTTGGGAGGGAAAATGGGGGTGTTACAAATTGGTATCAGAGAGGTTGGTCTTTGAAAGGATTAGGACACGAGGTAATAGGTCGTAGGGAGGAATTCTGTCAACGAGACGATAAGAGTCTGAGCTGGTTGGTGCATAATTGAGCCTTTGCGCTCGTCCAACCAACTGGGAATTTCTCCTTGTGCTGAAACTTCGTTGTTCGAAATCTTTGACGAAAACAATGGTTTCAAAGTGGGGATTTTCAAAATGTTTTTCGTAAGAACTAGGAGAATGAACATACTAGGAAAAGGACCTTTCTAGGAACGCAGTGAGAAGGAGAAACCTTGACGATATTATTGAGTTATGAAATGCTTGAGATTCGTGCCTATGTGAAGTATGTGGACATGTTATCCTCTGTATGTGTTTATCTGTCATAAGAATTTGAGTTAGTAGAGAACTTGCGTAACATAGAAGCCTTATGAATGCCTTAGTACTTAGTATTCGTTTTCTTTATTAAGAATCATGCCGCCAAGAAGGAACCCCCACACAACCCCAACCGTTGAAGAGCTTGCCCAAACTGTCCAACAAATGGCACAACTTATCGGAGCGGCTCAATCCTCGAACCGTGGGATTGATTACGCAACAAGAGTAGCCGGGCGGAACCCTCCAAAATATTTGGGCGAGGAGGACCATCTTATTTTGGAGGACTGGATTCGCACCTTCGACAAACTCTTTGACTCACTCAACTGCCCGTTGGAGCAGCGAGTGAACATTGCGGTGTATTACCTGCACCAAGAAGCGGACCACTGGTGGGCCGCCACCGGACCAGCACTTCTCGAGCAACCGGGCTTTGACTGGGAGGACTTCATAGTAGCTCTGCGTGATCGCTTCTATCCGGATCACGTAAAGGAGGCAAATTATGACGAATTTGTCAATTTCAAGCAAGGTGACTTGACTGTTCAGGAATATCACACGAGGTTCGTCCAATTGGCTCGTTTTGCCAAAGACCTTGTGTCAACCGAGGCCAGCATGACCCGCAGATTTGTTAACGGGCTTAACTACGGGGCCCAAAAATTCGTGACTGTAGCAGAGCCACGAAACCTGAACGAGGCATATAGGAAGGCTGGTAAGTACTATCTGGTACACCAGAAAGAAAGAGAGGCACAGAAGAGAGATCGAAAGAATGCTGAAATGGAGCAGCAACAAAAGAAGGCTAGAACTGACCGCCCGGAACAACGTCAAAACAATCAAGGCGGGAGAACCATCCATGGCCATGGTCAGGGGAGAATCCAGCCAACTCAAACACGGTACTACAAATGCAAACTATGCCCAAACAACCATCCTGGGAAGGATTGTGCAGGGAACGCGGTGAAGTGTTATAACTGCAACCGTATGGGGCATAGGGCGTATGAGTGCCTGGATGAGAAGAAACCCCGGATCCAGGGCCAAAACCAGGGGAACAACCAAACCGGGGGTGGGGATAATCCCGTGAACATCAACCGTGGTACTCCCAGTAACCGCCCGACGGAAGGCAATCATAATCAGGGTCAGGGAAGACAAAATAGCAACCAGGGCCGAATCTACGTCATGAACCAAGCTCAAGCGAATGCCAACGATGTTGTGTCAGGTACATTCCTTGTAAATTCCACACCTGCTCATGTACTGTTTGATTCGGGTGCATCCCACAGTTTTATATCCTCAAAACTTGTGGAAAAGTTAAAGTTAGAACCTACCGCTACACTCAACCTTAATGTAAAAACAGCATCTAATAAAGTTGTAGCTTGCGGGAGTGTTTTCTCCAATGTTTCTATAGTCATATCTAATACCGAATTACCCGGAGATCTAATCCAATTTGACTTGGAGGATATCGACGTGGTGTTGGGAATGGACTGGCTAGGAAAATATAAGGCGAGAATTCTTTGTGATGAACAAAAGGTGGTCTTGAAAGGACCCCACAAGAAGCGTGTATCCTACAGAGTGGTTACATCTCAGCCAGGCATGAAGCTGGCAACCATGCAACAAGTCAAACGATACGTCCGGAAGGGGTATGAAGTTTACTTATGCATGATCAAAGACTTAACATCCGAAGATCCAACCATTGACCAAATCCCTGTGGTCAATGAATTTCCGGATGTGTTTCCAGAAGAAATCCCGGGGATGCCGCCAGAGAGGGAAGTTGAGTTTTCGATCGATCTAATGCCGGGCACCGCACCTATTTCGAAGGCGCCGTACCGAATGGCACCAAAGGAGATGCAGGAGCTGAAGGAACAACTCGAAGAACTGTTGGAGAAGGGCTACATCAAACCGAGTGTCTCACCGTGGGGCGCTCCGGTCTTGTTTGTAAAGAAGAAGGATGGGAGCCTGAGGCTCTGCATCGATTATAGAGAATTAAACAAAGCAACAGTCAAGAACAAATATATGCTGCCTCGCATTGATGACCTCTTTGATCAACTGAAGGGGGCTAACACATTCTCCAAAGTTGATTTGAGATCCGGGTACCATCAAGTGAGGATTGCTGAGAAAGACACTCCGAAGACGGCTTTTCGAACGAGGTACGGACACTATGAGTTCACCGTGATGCCGTTCGGCCTAACAAATGCGCCTGCGGTATTTATGGATCTCATGAACCGTGTGTTTCGACCCTACCTCGACTTGTTTACTATTGTATTCATCGACGACATCCTGGTGTACTCTAAGACACCAAAAGAGCACGAAGAACATCTGAGGACAGCGCTGCAAACTTTGAGAGAAAATCAGCTCTATGCCAAACTCTCAAAGTGTGAATTCTGGAAGGATCGGGTAGCATTCTTGGGCCACATCATCACCCAAGAAGGTGTATCTGTTGATCCATCAAAGATCGAAGCAGTGATAGACTGGCCTACACCCACAACTGTGACAGAGGTCCGGAGCTTTCTAGGCTTGGCAGGCTATTATCGCAGATTCGTGAAGGATTTCTCAAAGATTGCAAAACCTTTGACTAACCTCACGAAGAAGACCACGAAATTCATATGGGATGAGGAATGCAAGAAGGCTTTCCAGGAGCTTAAGCAAAGATTAACAACCGCACCTATCTTAACCCTACCATCGGGTACTGAGGGGTTCGAGGTTTACACCGATGCTTGTTTGAAAGGGTTGGGTTGCGTATTGATGCAAAATGGCAAAGTGGTGGCCTATGCATCAAGACAACTGAAGACCCACGAGGTAAACTACCCGACTCATGACTTGGAACTGGCAGCGGTTATCTTCGCCTTAAAACTATGGAGGCACTATCTATATGGGATACAATGTAAAATTTACACCGATCACAAGAGCCTAAAGTACATCTTCACCCAAAAGGAGCTTAACATGAGACAAAGACGTTGGCTAGAACTCGTCAAGGACTACGACTTGGAGATTCAATACCATGAAGGGAAAGCAAACGTAGTTGCCGATGCGCTAAGCCGAAAGTCAACACACTCCTGCAGAGCAACATGGATACTACCTGATGAGCTATATCGGGACTTTCAAAAACTAGACTTGGAGGTACGGGATTTCGGAGAAATAGATCGGGAAACGCGGTTACTCGCCATGACCGTTACCCCATCTCTTTTCGATGAAATTAGAGCAGGGCAGCCTGGAGATATAAAGTTGGACAGAATCCGAGCTGGTATGACGAATGGCTTAAACGGACCATTCAAACTACACGAAGATGGTAGCATTCGACACAAAGGAAGGTGGTGTGTCCCGATGAAATGTGAAGAGATTAAGAAGAAAATCATGGAGGAGGGGCACAACACGCCTTACTCGGTACACCCTGGAGGCGACAAACTCTATAAAGACCTCAAAAACAATTTTTGGTGGCCAAAGATGAAGAAGGAGGTAGCTGAATTCGTGGCTAGATGCTTAAACTGCCAGAAGGTGAAAGCCGAACGTTGCAAGCCCAAGGGACTCGTGCAACCTTTAGAAGTGCCAAAATGGAAATGGGACTCTATATCCATGGACTTTGTTGGGGGCTTACCGCCAACCAAGTCTGGCAAAGACAAGGTTTGGGTTATAGTTGATCGGTTAACAAAGACCGCTCGTTTCATCCCAATGAACGAGACATGGAGCATGGAAAAGTTAGCTCGAGCTTACATCAAACATATAATTAAATATCATGGAGTTCCACAAGACATTGTTTCTGACCGTGATTCTAGATTTCTATCTCAATTCTGGAAGGAATTGCAAGCTGCTCTGGGGACGAAACTGAAACTGAGTACAGCCTTTCACCCAACCACTGATGGACAAACTGAGCGAACAATCCAAACACTCGAAGACATGCTGAGAGCATGTATGTTAGACCTACAAGGGTCATGGGACGAACACTTAGACTTAATAGAGTTTTCGTACAACAATAGCTACCACGCCAGTATCAAGATGGCCCCGTACGAAGCTTTATATGGTCAAAAGTGTAGAAGTCCACTATGCTGGAGTGACTTGACAGACAAAGTGGTGCTAGGGCCAGAGTACCTACATGACACCATGGAGAAGGTGAAACTGATTCAAGCCAGGATGAAAGCTGCACAAGATCGTCAGAAGTCTTATGCTGACTTGGGGAGGAAGCCAGCTGAATTCAAAGTGGGAGAAAAAGTCCTACTCAAAGTCTCACCGACGAAGGGAGTAATGAGATTCGGAAAGAAGGGAAAGTTAAGCCCAAGGTTCATCGGCCCATATGATATCCTCGAACGAGTGGGACGATTGGCATACCGTTTAGCTTTACCCATGGAGTTGGCTAAGGTAAGACACACCTTAAAACCTCTCGATGGTAAATATAATAGTAAGTGCCTCTCAAATACTAACGCTTGATGTACTTAGGTACACAACGTTTTCCACATTTCACAATTGAAGAAGTATATTCGCGACGAATCACATATCCTTAACCCTGAGGTACAAATCGTAACCTCACGATTTTCAAAATCAAATTCAACATGTCTAACATTGACTCAATTAGGTTGTCGAATTGGACGAAACATTGACTTATGAGGAAAGGCCTATCCAGATCCTTGATACAAAAACTCGTGAGACTAGGAGGAAGTCAGTTACAATGGTAAAGGTATTGTGGTCTAACCACTTGGCCGAAAACGCCACTTGGGAGTCCGAAGATGATATGCGCAACCGCTATCCAAAGTTATTTGAGTAAGGTAATGTTGTGATTACGGGGATGTAACCTTGTAATACCTCTTAAATTATAAGATATTTTATTAGCTTATGCTTCGGGACGAAGCATCTTGTAAGGAGGGTAGAATGTGACACTCCAAAAAAAAAAAAAAAAAAAAAAAAAAAAAAAAAATCATTAATATTAACTAAGATGTGGTATTCATTTGTGGATAAAGTTTCTTTAGTTTATGTTTCGGGACGAAACATCTTTTAAGGAGGGTAGAATGTGACACCTCGAAAAATTTAATAAAATAAAATAAATAAATTTTATTGGTTAGCAAAATATTATGAAAGTGATTTTCTTAGAATCAAGTGAATCAGATAAAATCTTAACATCAGTGACATTTTTAACCAGATAAAAATGTTTCAATAATAAAAGTGACATCTTATAATGATTATGTCGAGACCTCGACTTAAATAGCAAAAGTGACAGTTTTGTAACAAGTAATAATTATACATATAACATAAATAATAAAATTGTCATTTTAATGTACAAAATGTATTGTGACGCACACACAAATAATCATATAAATAATGCTACGTACACAAATGAAAATGTTGGGGCTAAATTATATACTAGTACTACCTCCGTCCCCCTAAATTTGGGGACAAGAGAAGTTGACACGGTTATTAATAAAAATGAATTTATATTGAATTGATAAAGTAAGAATAAAGTAGGAATGATTTAGAATCACACGAACTTTACAAAAAAAAAAATATGAGACAATTTTAATGAGACGGACCGAAATGGTAAAATGGGACAATCATAGCGGGACGAAGGGAGTACATTGTATCAAACAAGAGTTGACCGAAGGGGACCAAAACCCACCTACACACACAATGGACCAATGTATGCGAACAAGAAATACACATTCACGCACATGAATATGTTGAAGCAAGCTTATTGCCAACCTAAACTCACATGGGTTGTTCGTAGCTACAACCTCCAACCTCATAGTATAAATAAGCAAGAACAGACCTTCAGCTCTCTTCATCCCCAACCCTGCGACATATATATATACGTGTATATATATATACACTACGTATATACATATATATATATATATACATATACACAAATTTCGACCCTTCGTTTTAGTCAAAACCGAGCCATGAAAACACCATAGAAACCTTCCCCTTCTCGAGAGGAATCCAACGGTGAAAGAATCGTTGAAAACGATCGTGAAACGACGGAGAACAAGCTTGCCGGAGTTCCGCCGGGCTAACCGCAAAGACGGAAAACGGAGAAGAAGGAGGAGCTGCCGCTGCCGCCAACCCATCACTGACCTTCGCCGTCCCAAAACGAGTCCTCTACCACCACCGTATCACGAATCCGTCGAGGTAACCCCCTTCCCCCTGCCTAGCTCGTTTTCTCGAGTTCATGATCGAGGAAGAAGAAGTGTACACTTTTTTTTTCTTCTTTCTCTCTTAGAAGATTGGGCCGTTTGGGCCAGGAGTTTTTATTTTTACTTTTGGGCCAAGACTCCTAAGTAGTAGAAGTAATAATAATAATAATAATAATAATAATAATAATAATAATAATAATAATAATAATAATAATAATAATAATAATAATAATAATCTGCAAAATTGATAAATTTGAGATGAGAAGTATTAATGGTGAAATTGGCTGGAATATTTGATAGTAACTACTTGGATAAATTTGTTAATTGTTATTTAACATAGTTACATATTGTTAAATAAAAAGGAAATTGATGGTTCAATTAATAAAAATTGATAAACAAATATTATATTATAATTATTTAGTTGAACTTAGTAGAGAAAATTGGATCGTTATTGTTTTCACTCATTATTGGATTATTGAAGTGGATTAATAAGTTAACGTAATATCAAGCGTTTAAATAATTAATTAATAAAATCAGATTAAGTTGATGACGATTAGTTAATTTTAAATAATTATGTAATATTCGGATTGATTAATATAATTAAGAAATATGAATAGTTTATTTAAATATAATTCGGATATGTTTTGATAATATTGAAATACAGTTAGTTCTTTGAATGTTTTTTTTTTATATGATGATATTTAAATTAAAATCTGATGTTGTAGTTAATTATATTTTTATTAGAATTCAAATACCGTAATTAATGACTGAATTAATAAGGTATTTTGATTAATAAAATGTGATTAACTCGAACAATTAATAAATGTACTTAACTAAATGAGTTAAATAGATCTTTTATATATAATTAATTAAGTAAATGAGTATATTTAAAAAAAATGATTAAGGTCTGATCTATTAATAAAATTAAGTTAATTGATTTCGTAATTAAAGATTAGATTTTTCAGAATTAATTAATTAATTGGAACTAATTAGTGATAATAATTAAATAATAGATTTTACTAGTAGACTAAAGTTCGACTAAGATAAATAAGTTAGTGACTAAATTGAAATTAGAATTAATCAGTTACTTTAATTAATTAAGTTTTAGCAGGCTATTTTCGGATAAATAAAATAATTAGGAATTATTAGTATGTATAGCCGAAAATTAAATAGTAGTAGAAGTATAAATAAATTAAGTAGATTAAAGACTTAAATTATATAGTTGAATTTTATAGTCAAGTAGTGCTAACTACTTCGAATAAGAGTAAGAAACCGAATTAATTAAATTCAATAATGGAGTAGTTATTAATTTTCGCACATTGATAATATTAAAGGAGAGATTGGCGAATTCGTTGAAGACGTGAACTAGATTTCGAGTAGGGTTAGAGCAAAAGCGTGACTTCGAGGTAAGTTTCTCTGCCGATCCAAAATCGTTTCCTCGTATTATATATGTATTATGTGATACATGATTTTAATGTGAGTTATGATGTATATGTATGAGATTTTGAGATTGTTGGATCTGTGATATTTGAGAAGTGAAACTAAATGCTTTTGGGTATTAAATATTTTATTTAAACATCTTGAGGCAGTTTGAGAAATTGAGGAATATTTTGAAGTATATTAATTCAAGATAAAAGAATGATTTCATAAGAGGTAGGCATCTCGGGAGTAATCCGAGGTGTTGGTTTTCCACGTCCCTTAAAATGTGGAGAGTGGTTAGGGCTACTACTAAGAAGAGATTTTTGAGTAACTTTCGGATCGATGATCCCTTTTAAGAAGGAGAGTTGTGGTAGCAGTAGTAGTTCCGACGTAAAAGGGCTGCTACTGCTAAGGGTGAGGATAAGTTTTGAGTGATAATTGGATCGATGATCCCTTTTAAGAAGCAGAGTTGTAGTAGTAGTCCCTAATCATTCAAAGATATCTTATTCAGGGGTAGTTGGTAGACTGAGTCCCGATTACTCGTGACGACTTACTACTCGGAGGGCTTGGAATCCCTTTTAGGGGGTGTGCACACTTAAGGTAGTCGTTTCGTTTCCGCAAGAGCAGTTGTGGTACCGGCACTCGTTCGGGGTGGCCGTCCGTAACCACGGTCCACCGGGCTCAGTCGAAAGGTTGAGCACCGCCCTTCTAAATTACTAGGAAGATAGAGAAGAAGTGAATTTTGAGAAAATCTAAGAGAAGAGTTACTATAGTATTTTCAAAGAAAAGTTGAGGACTTTATTAAAGAAGTGATTTTGAGAAATATCAAAGAGAAAAGGATTTTGGTGGAGAGTGTCATTTTTATATAGTATTATATGAAAAACTATTTTTAGCCAAACCTGATTATTTTACGGGGTTGGGTAGTACTTACTTAGCTCTAAAGCTAATTTTTGTTCCCTTTTCTTTGTTTTGTTTTCTGCACTTTATTTGTGCAGGTGATGATGCTTATGTGGACTGATGATTGTATGACCACGAGAGCGGTTTAGAGATGCCTTAGTCAAACCTAGTTATAAATAAACAATCCAATTATGTTGAACACTTGTTTTACTTTGTTTGGTGATTGCCTGTGCATTCGGTTAAGAGATGACCGGATGTGGCGGTAACACCCATTTCCCATTTAATGTTATTTCCGCTGCAAAACTTTTTATCTGTTTTGAAAGAATAAATCAAGTTATTATCAATAAATCTATTATTTCAAGTATTATTTTGGGAGGGAAAATGGGGGTGTTACATGGAGCGTCAATATTCTCAAAATATTAAGATTGTTCGTAGTGATAATGGGACTGAATTTAATTGCCTGAAAGATTTTTTTCGGACCTCTGGCATTATTTTTCATACATCTTGTGTTGCCACGCCGCAACAGAATGGCCGGGTAGAACGAAAACACCGACATATCCTTAATGTGGCGCGTGCTCTCTGATTTCAGGCTAATCTTCCCATTCAATTTTGGGGGGAGTGTGTTCTCACTGCTGCTCACCTCATTAATCGGACCCCATCTACTGTGTTGGACCATAAAACCCCCTTTGAAATACTATTTGGAAAATCTCCTGCTTATACTGCTCTTCGTGTGTTTGGGTGTCTCTGTTTTGCCCATAATCTTCGTTCTGCCAGGGACAAATTTTTGAGCAGAACCCGCAAGTGTATATTCGTTGGGTACCCTTTTGGTAAAAAGGGGTGGCGGGTTTATGACCTTGAGACCGAGGAGTATTTTGTCTCCCGTGATGTCAAATTTATTGAGGACGTGTTCCCTTTTGCTGCTATTCCAGCCCCGGCCCAGGAGAATCCCCCACCGTTACCTCTTACAGATTCATGGGAATATCCCATAGCCGTTCCTACACCGCATACACTTGATTCTCATACTCCTATTGTTACTGCATCTGAGGCGCCATCTGCTTCTAGGCCTCTCTCACCAGACTTGGGTCGAGGGAAACGGATTAAACTTCCGTCCATCAGATTACGGGATTTTGAGACACATACCATCATGCTTGACAGTCCATTCCCCGTTTCTTCCTCTCCATCGGCCACCTCAGGTACACCGTTTCCTATAGCTCATTATATTAATTGTGAAAAATTTTCTGACCGCTATCGTGTGTTCTTGACGGCACTCTCAGTTAGTAAAGAACCTGCCTCTTTTAAAGAAGCCATGCGTGATGCTGGTTGGCGTGATGCAATGCGGGCTGAAATTCGTGCTCTTGAAGACAACGGCACTTGGTCTATGCAGCCTCTTCCGCCCGGAAAACGGGCATTGGGATGTCGTTGGGTATATAAAATCAAATATCACTCTGACGGCAGCATTGAACGACTCAAGGCTCGTTTGGTTATTTTTGGCAATCGCCAAGTTGAGGGACTTGACTATAATGAAACATTTGCCCCTGTAGCCAAGATGGTGACGGTTCGCGCCTTCTTGGCTGTTGCGGCGTCCAAAAATTGGGAACTCCATCAAATGGATGTTCATAATGCATTCTTGCATGGTGATTTGGTTGAAGAAGTTTACATGCAGGTTCCACCGGGATATGCTGCTTCTGATTCTTCTCTTGTTTGTCGGCTCCATAAATCTCTTTATGGCTTGAAGCAGGCTCCCCGTTGTTGGTTTGCTAAATTGGTTGGTGCTCTTAAAGGATATGGCTTTCTTCAGTCATACGCTGATTATTCTCTCTTTACACGCACTCAGGGGACTACTCAGCTTAATGTCTTGGTCTATGTGGATGATCTGGTTATCTCAGGCAATGATCATGATGCCATTGTTCACTTTAAAGCGTATTTGAGTAATTGCTTTCACATGAAAGATTTGGGCTCACTCAGGTATTTTCTTGGGATAGAAGTGGCCCGCAGCCCCTCGGGTCTCTTTCTCACCCAACGTAAATATACAATGGATATTCTTTCTGAAACAGGACTTCTCGGTGCTAAACCTGCGGATTCTCCTATTGAACAAAATCATTCTCTGGCAAAAATTCAAGGACCTCTATTGACTGACCCTGAACCTTATCGGCGTCTCCTTGGACGACTCATTTATCTAGCTGTCACTCGCCCTGATTTGACATATTCTGTTCATATTTTGTCTCAGTTTATGCAGGCTCCTTGTCAAGCTCACTGGGATGCTGCCTTGCGCGTAGTTCGCTACTTGAAAGGGTCACCTGGTCAAGGCATTTTGCTTAGTGCCGATAGCGAACTCTCCCTTACTGGTTGGTGTGACTCAGATTGGGCTGCTTGCCCCCTTACTCGACGATCTCTGTCTGGGTGGCTAGTCTTTCTTGGGCACTCTCCTATTTCCTGGAAAACCAAGAAGCAATCCACTGTCTCTCGTTCTTCCGCGGAGGCAGAATACCGGGCTATGGCTGCAGCCACTTGTGAGCTTAAATGGCTCAAAGCTTTGCTTCTTAGTCTCGGAATCAATCACGAGAAAGCTATTCCGTTGTTCTGTGATAGTCAGTCTGCATTGCATATTGCTCGAAATCCGGTTTTTCACGAGCGCACTAAACACATTGAAGTGGACTGTCACTTTATTCGTGATGCTATTAACACTGATCTCATTGCTCCTAGCTATGTTCCGACGACTGTCCAGCTCGCCGATATTTTTACTAAAGCACTTGGGAAGACTCAATTTCATTTTCTTCTACGCAAGTTGGGCATTCTAAACCCGCATGCTCCATCTTGAGGGGGTATTACGGATCATATATTTGAGATATATTATTTAGCCTATTTGCGTTATGTAATATTCTATTATAGGCATACAATTATTGCCTTACCTTATTAGACTAGTCAACCTTTTTATATAAAGGTTTTTGTACACACATGGAACGTGAGAAATACAAGCAGAACTTATTCTTACATACATCTTCGCTGTTCATCAATAAGTTAAAAGTTACTATCAAATCTATCTTCCAGCCGAGTTCTCTAATCATCCACCCATTTAATTTGGTTTGTATTGATTTCGCGGGTCTATATATAGTTGGACTTTAGAAGCAGGTTATCAAAGGTTTTCAACATTTAATCTACGGAGTAATAATTAAATGTCCAGCCTTCTTTCATTGAGAAGTGTAAAAATTACTGGTAATTCAATAATAAAGCAAATTAAATGAATTGTCCAGCAGCCCCAGCCCATCCTTCTCTTGCTAGCCCATTCTTAAATTCTTTTATTGTTGTTCTTTAATAAATTTCTATTAGAAAAGCATAAATTTGCAGTATTTTTAAAATGAAGTACGTTAAAGAAAACAGTCAACCACTGTTGTTTTTGTTTCTGAGTAGAAGCCAGAGTTACCCCTATTTAGATTACATAAACAATTAAGTTTAGACATTTCATTATCACTATTAGGCCATTTGTAGTGGATTAGTATTGGGAGTCCAAAAATGTTATAAACGACATTTTTGGAATAGATCTTGTCTGATCAGCTGAATGCTCTATATTTTTTTTAAAAAAAGTGTTGCCTGATAATAAACAATTTACATTAATATTTTTGAAAACAAACTATTCAAAACTATCCAAACACTTTTTTTTAACTATAAACGTATGATGCTCACTTGACCTTTATTTGTGATTGTACGTATACCTCTCTTGCCCGAAATGGTTGTACTATGTAATTTGAAATCACAACGATTTTATCAATATCATCTATATTGTAAAAACAACATTATTAGTACAGAGCATATTATAAAATATAAAAATCACAAAATAAGTACTGTAAAACGTAATTTACTCACCGAAATGTTCACACATCTATTATTTTCGCTTTCAACAACGTTAATTACAGGTTTTGCTGGGCAGAGTGTGCTTGACAGACAGTAGTTGGCACAATGGGCTGGTGTGACTCGCTAGTCCGATCCTATTTATAGTAGAAATTTTCACAATTAGTTCACGTGGCTCTAAGCATTATTAAAAGTGTGATATTGAAGAAGCGTAATAGTTCTCATTTAATGTAATACTTTGTACTCCGTAGCTTTCATTGAATTTTTATAGAATGCAATCAATACATTTCCACTCACATTCGGCATCCCAATATTTTTTTACAGTTGGGATTTGGGAATTAAAAAATTACTTCAATTATTGCTCTAGCATTTATTATTGCTCTACATACTCAATAAAGCTTTTAGTCTTCTATGCAGGTGTGTTCTACTACGTATTAATATAGCATTGCTTTAAAGGATGGTTCTTGTACATTATGAATGATAAGTCCGTATTTAGACACGTATTTGATGCGTGTTGAGATCGGATTTTGATGGTTTTCCTAGCTTTAAGGTGTTACAAGTCTCAATTTTAGCTCAAGTTATGTTTACCGGGCGTTGGTTCGAGTTTTGTGTTGTTTGTAGTCAAAATCAAGGAATTTGAGCCCAGCACTGGCACTTGAGGAACAATCGGGATGATTTGAGAAGCATTTGAGAATCATTTGATAGATTTGGAGGTCACCGGAAGATTCACGATGAAGATTTGAAGGAAAAAGAGCTCTAGGATTGGCTACGGGGTCAAAAGAAGATGAATGAAGCTTGAAAACGACGATCAGGATGACCTTCTGTCAATCGTTCAAGCATATCTCTTTGTAGAAACAACAAATGTACACGATTCAAGTTCCATATGAAAGCCAACTTCAAGAGCTACAAATCATATGAAGACATCATTCCGAGAATCGGAGAGGATCAAGGTGAAAACAGATGATGAAGTCAGATGATCTCTGCTGCGATTTCAGAATGACACCTTCCACCATTTTAGTCATATCTCTTGATTGGATGATTTAAATCACATTCGACAAATTGGAGTGGATAGAGGACTTCATTATCTACAACTTTCATGAAGGAAGTTTTGTCAAATTCGGAATAGAAAAAAGGCTGAAGAGCACGGACGCACGATCGTGCGTAAAAGGACGCACGATCGTGCGTAAGAGCCAACAACGCGGCAACTAATCTGCCTGCTACGCACGATCGTGCGTGGCAAGGTACACACGATCGTGCGTACACCCGAGACGCGGATTTCAGCCCTTTTTTAGTCCCAGTTCAGCCCAAACTCATCTGTTTTCTATAAATAAGACCCCCATACCCATATTTTGAAGTTACGAACATTACGGAGAGGCCTAGGGACGAATTTAACACCGTTTTTACGCTATTTTCTTCCAAGACCCTGGGATTATTTGTAAGTTCAATTCTTTAATTAATGACAATTTATTCTATTCATCCCAATTCTTTTGATTCGTC